GGGCTTCTGCATCTGTTGCAGATGAATCTCCTACTACTTCCCGGCGGCACGACAGCGATGCAGACGTCGCTACTCCCGCTGATAAGAGTTCAGCAACAGAAATTCCTCCCGCCGCGGCCTCAACCACCGACGTTTCGCACTACTTCTTTCTCCGTCCCTACGTTGGTTCGACGGTCACGAAATGGAATATCAAATGTAAAAATGTCTGGGTCTGGAAGATTGCCACGTTTGTCATGCACATTTTGCATGACTCCTGATGTCTGTGATGCATGCCCTAGCATCACAGATTTTGCGAGGGCTTCCTGATGCCTATACCGCATGACAAATGCTCTTTCCGTGTAGCAAAACTTGGACTCTCTTTGCTGCTCATGCACGAAGAACATCGTGCTCTGGGAGAAGTAAAAGATGCGCAAGAGGACCACCTCCAGCCTAGTGTACAACTATCCGATCTACGTACTACAACAAAGCGGACGGAGAAGCAGGGCGGAACGGAGTTTCTCGTCCAAGTATCAAGTGTAAAAATGTCTGGGTCTGGAAGAATGTTGCGCGATTTGTCATGCTGCTTTTCCATGACCCATGAGGTCTGGAATGCCGGAGCTAGCATGACAGATTCTGCGAGACCTTTCTAATGCCTATCCTGCATGAGAAACTCTCTCCCGACTTGGTCAAAACTGGACGACTTTTGGCAATCATGCAACGCAGATTGTTCCATGCTGCAGATTCAGCATGACAAGTTGCAATCTTCCAGACCCAGACATTTTTACATTTGATACCAAGAACCTCCCTACAAAATAACCAGCCTCGTTCCTCCCAGGCCGGAAGAATATCAAATGCAAAAATGTCTGGGTCTGGAAGCGTGCAAGTTTGTCATGCAGGTTTTCCATGACGCACGAGGGTTGGAATGCAGGACCTAGCATGACAGATCTTGTGAGATCTCTATCATGTCTGTCCTGCATGATAAACTCCCTCTCACTTTGGTCAAAAGTGCGCAGCTTTTGGCACTCATGCAACACAGATTCTTGCACGATTCGGATTTAGCATGACAAGTTGCATCCTTCCAGAGGACCCAGACATGTTTGCAATGCATATTCAGCAACGGGCAGATCATGATCCAATTGGTGCCGAACAAGGACCAGCTGCGGCAGTCTATGATGAGCAAGGAGTCCATATCCTGTGCAAAAGTATCGTACTCGTAGTACTTGCATTTAGGCATTACAAATCTCTTTCTCAAGGTCAATCAGCATTACAAATTCAATTTGTAGTACTGGGCTAATTTCTAAATGCATTTATATGACGAGTACGATGCTTTTGCATTGCATAGTCCATGGCGTCCAACAAATCGGGCCGATCGGACGGCACGAAGATCTACGACGAGGAACACGACTTTGGTCTGTGCGACTTTTACGGGAAGATGTTCCGGATGTGCAAAGAGCTCGGGTTCGACAACGAAAATTGCCAGCAGCAGTTGGCCCACAAGACTGGCGGTGGCATATCAACTGCAAAAACGTCTGGGTCTGCAAGAGTTGGGGCTTGTCATGCACATTTTGCATGACCCATGAGGTCTGTGATGCTGATGCTAGCATCACAGATTTTTTGAGAGCTTCTTGATGCTAATTACGCATGAGAAATGCCCTCTCTGCGTGCCAAGAGCTGACTCCTCTGGCTGCTCATGCAACACAGACATTTTTAGAATCCGCAGGCAGCATTACGAGTTCCACTCTTCCAGACCCAGACATATTTGCAATCCATATGGCACCTTCTTCCACTACGCGGCGAAAAAGAATAACAAGCCTCTCTTCGACTACCTAGTGCTCAACCTGGACGAAACGATTATCAAGCAGCAGGTGCACGTGATCGACGATTTCGGCAAGAAGGCCATTGATTTGGCGAACCCGAAGAAGAAAAACTCGCTCTTCGAAGAGTTCTCGGCCCTGATGGTCAGTTTTCCGGCGGAGGACATCGATTTTTCGAATCCGGCGAACGAACAGGTTTTCGCGAAGGTATGACAGTGCACAACCCCCCCCTCCCCCTCATTTGTATCGCATGAACAGCAATACAGACACCCCCACCTGTGGAGCCTGTTCATGACAAGTTCATGCGCTCAGTGCAGTACTGTTTGGGCTTCCGGAATCTGTCATGCAAACAGTACCACGCAGCAGCGCTTGGAGTTGGTATTTTCCATGACAAATGAGGGGGAGGGGGAGTTGTGCACTCTCATAGAAGGAGTGGAAGTACCAGCTGCAGAAGAATCCGGAGTTGCTATCAAAAGGAAAAATCCCTCCTCCCCATACTAAAACGGAGATTTGTGTAGCATGATTTGCTACCACAATTTACGTTGTCACGCTAGAGGGCAAAAGATGCGGACTGTAGTGCTGGCCGGCGTGGGAAGGCCTTGCATCTTCAGCGTGACAGGAGGCAACTGGAAGTGGCAAACAGCATGACAAACTGCTTGCAATTCCGGCCACAATTGCGTCGCTTGGCCTTCTAGCATAACAAGTCGATTTGTGTACGCAAATCCGACATCACAAATGTCCTTTCCAATATGGGGAGGGGGGAATTTTCCTCACAATAGTTGCGCAAGAAACTGGAAGCGGCTAAGAAGGCGCAGGCCCAGAGCAAGCTGGATGACGGCGCGAACAGCAATGACCTGCTGGACGAGAAATCCGGTATGCCTTCCAACGTGGCCGGCCAGGATATGAAACTGCACAACTCCCCCTCGTTCTCATTTCTCATGCAAAATCCCAAATCCAAGTGCTTCCCTGTGGCACTGTTTATGCATCACAGATTCCGGAAGCTGCCCAAGCAGTACTATCTACACTAGGCGCATGAATTTGTCATGCACAGGGAGCTCCACGTGTGTCTGTGGTCGTGTTTGTATTGCTGTTCATGCAAAAATACGAAAGATGAGGGGGGAATCGTGCACTCTCATACAGGAGAAAGTGATCAAGGCGAGTGACATCATGTCTCCGTACGAAGCCATATGTAATGCAAAAGCATCGTACTAGTATCGATTGCATCACAAATTAGCCCAGCATTAGAAATTCAATTTGTAATGCGGATTTACCTTGAGAAAGAGATTTGTAATGCATAAATGCAATTACTCCGAATGCGATAGACTTTTGCACAGGATAAGCCGAGGAATTGGTGCCGGCGGAGTACAAGAAGTGCTTCAAGATGCTCAACAACCAGGGCTGGAAAGCACTGGACAACAAGTGGCCCAACAACGGACAGACCGTTTTGCACTACGCTGCGAAAACGGGGAAGGAAGACCTGTGCCATTTCTTATGAATTGCAAAAATATCTGGGTCTGGAAGATTGTAACTTGTCATGACAAATCTGAAGCATGCAAAAATCTGTGTTGCATGAATGCCAAAAGCTGTCCACTTTTGACCAAGTTGGAACGGACTTTCTCATGCAGAATAGGCATGGCAGAGACCTCGCAGAGTCTGTCATGCTAAGTCCCGCATTCCTGAACTCATGGGTCATGGAAAATCTGCATGACAAGTCTACACTCTTCCAGACCGAGACATTTTTGCACTTGATACTTCTTAATCCTGCACTACGGAGCGGACCCGGAGCAGAAGTGCCACCACGGACACGACGCCGCCTGTATGCAAGAAAAAAACTACTGTGTAAGTGTAACTCTGTAATGCAGAATATGCAACAGAGTTACGCCTGTCATGCCACACAGCCACGAACTTCTTTTTTCATGTGTGTTTTCCCGTACAAGCCGCGCATGAGAGGTTTTCTCTGTCATGTAGAGCAAATTTGTGATGCTGTCTGCCAAAGAAAGTTACACTTACACAGTTTTTTTCTTGGATAGCCTGGTACGCGAAGTCAAAGAAGCACCGGCTGCTGGCTAAGAAACTCTACTTCCGCTTTTTGAAGGAGGTGAAGTAAAGTAGGGTTTCTTTCCTTAACCACTGTAGTAGTTGCGGAAAAATGAAGTAGTGGTCTTCTTTTGTTCTTCTGTTCTTCCTCCTAAATTGTACAATAGGTTTCTCCCTTCTACTATGTATTTTGCTGAAATACAAATATTTGAAATTCTAGCCGAATACCTCCTACCATGAGTGACTTTACTTTATTTCCGTGAACAAACTTCTTCTCAGCCAGTTCTGTACTTGTTTTGTTTTTCTATTTTTAACGTAAGATGACTGTCATCATAAAGCGGCCTACCAGCACGTATTTAATAGTCCAAACTCATTCAATAGATGCACTTTGGTCATGAAACCTCTCTCCTTTTCGAGTAAGTCTACTTCGGGAGAGCACGGGTCCGGAAGTCGAGGAAGTCTCACGACGACTCTGAGTCTATGGTATCTGTAGGAAATCTGGTGCATTCACGACCAGCTAGTATAGAAGAAGTGTCGATGTTTGTCAGAAGTCAATAAGGACGAAATTCCGATTATTTTTACCAACAATTCATAGACGATCCACAGTAAATTGAAACCTTTTATTCCACAGCGATCAAATCCTGTCTCACAAAACCTTTCATCGTGGGAAGATCTTTTGAAAACTGTTTCACCTGTGTAACCAAAATATTTCTGTGCCGTTATGTGGACAGGATATTGAAAAGTAGGAACGTATTAACTCTATTAAAAAACGAAAAAGCATGTCATGCCACGACTGTGGTACGCAACAATGGTTGTGGCCCAGGTCGCGAGGAGGTGCGTAGCATGGCAGAACTAGCATTACAAGCTGACAAACACGAAACGCGAACTACGAAGATTTGTGGTTTTTGTCCATCTCAAAACTAGTCAATTACTATTCGAAATATAGCATTACAAACTATTTATGATATTCGAAATCAGCATCACAAATTCCGATCCCCGATCATGATCCAGCACTACAGGTAGGTGGTCGATGAGAGTTTTATTTGACTTGAAAGTCACCAAGTCAGTAGCCACCGTATCACGACAGAAGGAACAATTATGTCGATCAATTGCGTTGTGGCAAGAAACTCGAACGATCGAGGATGAAAAAGAAACACGGAAGCAGCAGTTGAAAATGAATTTCTATCCCTTGTACCAAAAGCTTATGATGACAAAAAAAATTATAAAACCATGCAGACGAGCAGACAGTTACTGTGAGAATCCGCAGCTGTCTCGTCTGCAGTGCTGAGTGACAGCAGCCAGCCGCCGTTGCAGCTAGGCTATACCTAGCCTACAGTGACAGCGGCTATGCAGGCTAGGTCGTCTAGCGTGGCTACAATTGCAGCCGGCTGCTCTGCTTCTAACGACCAGTGCACAAAAATGATTGCGATGCGAAAGCTAAAATCTCGCTCTGTTCCTTGCGTCGCCCGCGGGTTGTGCCGTTCTTCTCCTTGTCCTTGTTTGTGTTTGATGATTGCATGTAGAACAAGTTCTTTCTCTGTTGGAACATGTTGTGTTGGAACAAGCGCAGCGTTGCTGAATTTGTGGTTGACGCTTAGCAGTTAGGCCTAGAGTAGAGTAGAAGTGCAAGTCCTCTACCTTGTCGGACCACGAGTTAGTTTTTCTAGCTTCTCACAAAAATGAGAAAATGGCGCTGTTGTCGGCGATGCTGATACAGGAGGTCGAGTTTGGCGAAAAATTCATGGGCGCAACGGGCGAAGACAACGAGACCTGCGAATCGGCTGCTTCTTGTTGAGGAGGATGCCAAAACAACTACTTCTCGACGGTTCAATCAAAATGCGCTTGGAGTAGTTGTGCTTGTCCGAAGAGCAGGTGATAATGATCCATTGTGAACTGTGACATAAACGCGCCTCTGCTGCAGTTCTTCTTCTCCTTCCCACCACAGCTTCGTCCGCTCGAAGAAGCAACACGGTTTAGTCCGGCTACGGATGCAGGATCAACATGATCATGATCGTTCCTGCACTCCATGTATGAATAGGTCAAAGAACCTCCCTTGAAATCGACGACGTTGCAGCATGCAGGAGGAAGATGGACATGATGTGCTGCACAGTCCTATTCTCAAAATACTACCTGCTGCTCCGATAACCTGCACTTGCGATGAGATCAACGAACTACATCAAGGTCAATGTCAGTGAGTCTGGTGAATCACCAGACTCACGTATATGCGTGTCGGAAATGGATTGTATATGATTTTGAATCCGTATAGGATACGTATAGCATGCTGAAGTTTAAAAGTTTGCGAAACCGACAAAAAAAAACGAGAAACAAAAGCAAAAACGCAGAAAAAGCTTTTCAGCATGGTGTCATGTCTTGACACTTGGCTAGCGGAGGGGTGGCGGAGGGCAAGTTGCAGTCGATTATACCCAGAATTAGCTGCGGATAGTACTAAAAGTGCAAAGTGCTTACTTTTTGAAAGCAGATGCCATTTATTATTACACTTCTGCTACCAGGACGGCACTGCGCTTCTGCATGTGCCGTCTACACCCTCCGCTACCCCTCCGCAGTTGCTGGGCATGTTCCTCATAGCATGCTGAATTTTGAAAACATGCAAAACCGACAAAAAAACGAAAAACAAAAGTGGAAACGCATAAAAAGCTTTTCAGCATGGTAACACCTCTTGCCACTCGCCGAGCGGAGGGGTGGCGGAGGGCAAGTTGCAGTCGATTAGACCCAGAATTAGCTGCGGATAGTATGAAAAGTGTAAAGTGCTTATTTTTTGACAACAGATGGCATTTATTATTGAACTTCTCTTACCAGGACGGCACTGCGATTCTGCATGTGCCGTCTACACCCTCCGCTACCCGTCCGCAGTTGCTGGGCATGTTCCTCATAGCATGCTGAATTTTGAAAACTTGCAAAACCGGCAAAAAAAGCGAAAAACAAAAGTGAAAACGCATAAAAAGTTTTTCAGCATGGTGACACCTCTTGACACTCGCCTAGCGGAGGGGTGGCGGAGGGCAAGTTGCAGTCGATTAGACCCAGAATTAGCTGCGGATAGTATGAAAAGTGTAAAGTGCTTACTTTTTGACAACGGATGGCATTTATTATTGAACTTCTCTTACCAGGACGGCACTGCGATTCTGCATGTGCCGTCTACACCCTCCGCTACCCCTCCGCAGTTGCTGGGCATGTTCCTCATAGCATGCTGAATTTTGAAAACTTGCAAAACCGGCAAGAAAAGCGAAAAACAAAAGTAAAAACGAATAAAAAGCTTTTCAGCATGGTATCAGCTCTTGACCTTCGCCTAGCGGAGGGGTGGCGGAGGGCATGTTGCAGTCGATTAGACCCAGAGGTAGCTGCGGATAGTATGAAAAGTGTAAAGTGCTTATTTTTTGACAACAGATGGCATTTATTGTTAAACTCCTGTTACCAGGACGGCACTGCGATTCTGCATGTGCCGTCTACACCCTCCGCGACCCCTCCGCAGTTGCGGGGCATGTGCCTCATAGCATGCTGAGTTTTCAAATTTTACGAAACCGACAAAAAAACCGAGAAACAAAATCAACAACGCATAAAACGCTTTCCAGGATGGCGTCACGTCTTGACACTCGCCTAGCGGAGGGGGGGCGGAGGGCAAGTTGCAGTCGATTAGACCCAGAATTAGCTGCGGATAGTGCTAAAAGTGCAAAGTGCTTACTTTTTGAAAGCAGACGCCATCTATTATTACACTTCTGCTACCAGGACGGCACTGCGATTCTGCATGTGCCGTCTACACCCTCCGCTACTTACCCCTCCGCAGTTGTTGGGCATTTGCCTCAAGGCACGACTAATTTGCAAAAAACAACTGAAAAAATAAAAATACAATACGCATATACAATCCATTTCCAACATAGTTCATCACCGTGATCCATTTCCAACATAGTGCATGCAGAAATGGCACTAGTAGTGCGAGGCTCTCAAGATGAACACTAATTCGCAAAAGTCAAAATCGAAAACCCCTTTTTTACTTCTCATCGCCAGAACTGATCTTGCTTGTGAAAATCATGTGCTTCTTCTCGCAACCTGACATTAAAACCGCTCCGTACCAAAAATCTAATCGTATGTAGTCGTCTTGTCGGATCGCCTCTCGTCGTCGTGGCATCGTCTCAGCACTCTCTGCGTTTTGATAAAAAAATCATTTTTCAACATCGCTTCAGGCACGGGCAGTTGTGCTTGCGGTATAGTGGCGACCAGTGTTTCAGTACGTAGACATAGCCCTAGATAATTTCTCCATGAGACTGCCTTTGACAGCCGGCAACGTTTCTGGAGTTTAGTGTATGATGACTAGCACAACTTGGAAGCCCTTTTGTAGTCACTCAGCATTGTTTTATCGATATACGGGACGAGAATGTATAGAAAAGGAACCGCTTTCACTTTCAACTGTTTCATTTTTCCACGTATGATAAGTAGATGCCGGAGCACAAAAAATTTTGTAAGACACTCAGCATTCACCCCACCGGTTTCAGTTTCAGCAGCACGCAAATTCATAGATAAAAACTCTGCGACTTTTCATCTTTAGAAAGGAGTTTATTTGTACAAGTGAACCCATGGACACGTCGCATGGAGCAGTTGTATCTACCTTCAATTCGAGGAGACGCCAACGCCAAACCCGCACGAAGCACAAGCTTGTTGCTCGTCTGAAGGCGTTTTTACAATCTCGTAGTCGCGGGTGGAGAAGATCCGAAGGGCGCAAGAACAGGCTGAAAGACGCATTCGGGACGAGCAGTCCTCTTCACGAGGATCGGATTTTTGCGCATGCAGCAGTTGTAGTACCTCATCCGCCGAAAAGGGTTGATCGTGACTATTTGTTTATTCGAGTAAAAGTTGTACAATAAGTTATGGAGCAACACCCGCCCAAGGATATCGACATCGACAAACGGAGCAACACCCCTTTATTTTTGCCTAAAAGCCAGTGACTGGCGTTCCCTCAGACTGTGGCGCAACCTGGACCTGTACCCTATGAGCGACCGGCGCAGCCACCATTTCAACGACAATCCCGCACGACCCGCGATTCCGTCTGACCAATGTAAAAATTTGAACCCTCACCATCCAGATCCGCACGGTTGCATACAGCCTCCATGTGGAGCTACTTCTAACGCCGGCCGCGACTTAGCAGTGCCGGGTAACACGAATAGACGCTTCGAAAATAACCGTGCGCGCTTTGTCCAAGAAGAGCATGACGTACCCAGCTACCCTTTACCCGTCGCCCCAGTTCCCACGCAAGCAACGTCGGCGTTGCATACTGCGACCACACTCGATTTCGAGCCGAAAGTTTGTCATGCACAGGCCGCAAATGCTGGAGCCGACGTGGGACAACATGCACCGGGAGAAGGTGTTCGAGAAGAGGCAGCGTATGAGTGGCAACAAGCTGCACGGGATGTGGTTGGCGGCCCACGTGACCCTCGCGCCCATGAACGAAATAACGCGACGTCGTACGACGGCATAGTGAACACCACTTTGCCCACCGGTAATTATGGAAGCTCGTATTACCAAGACCAAAACGACGCCAGGAGACCGGCAGCGACGAGTACGATTGAGGATGATGTGATATTAAGAAGCGATGTAGGTGGTGGAACTCCTCCTGCGTGGCGCCCTGGCCGCGGCCAAGTGGAAGTCCGGCCTGCGGCGACACGAGATGACCTTGACCAATATTCGTCCTACAATCCGAACAGAGAGCCCACCTCCGAGAGCTCTTATTCCGTGGCTGCTCCCAGGGTCAGACATGATGTTGAGGACCATGCGGGCCTCACTGATGCCTATCGCGACAACAAGCACAAGAACTCCCGCACAGACACAGGGCGGCTGGAAAACAGAGAAACCAGTTTCGAAAGCAATGCCGACTGCGAAAACGGTGACACACAGCTCGCCGCACCGCAGGAGCGACACCAAAATGCTGGCCAGAACGACCAGCAGCCTCAAGGACTGCAAGACTTCGTCTACCAGGCGGATTTGCCAAAGGTGGCTCCTGTGGTTGGTACATCCAACGGTAAGAGGACCGAGCTACAACGAAATGTGGACGAGTCAGCGCGTCTTCACCAGAATCAAGAGGAGGCTCAGCCTGTAGCTGAAGCGGCGAAATATGGAAATGGACGTCGCGGCTTTCATATCAGAAATCCTCGTGACACTACCAGCTCTGGAGGGTGCAGCCACGACATCAAGGCCGACAGCCGCAACAACGCGCCAGTCGTCCCGGAGGATTCTACGCCGATAATATTACCACGCTGCGCGGAAAAGGTCGATCCTTCTCCTGTGCCTGATGGCAAAGACGTCCAGAAGGACACCGATCTTGTTCCCCGGGATCATGCTAGTGGTCTCCCCGATGTGGAAGGGATGTGTCCTGCGAACGCAGAAGTGGCGAATGGTTTTTCCCCTCAAAAAGACCATCTACATCCCCCCTCCGCGGGCTGCAGCATCCCCGTCTACGGGCGCCACAACGCCCCTTTTCTCAATTCCCCGAGCGACCTACCAGAGTATTTCAACGACGAGGACTGCCGGACTTCGTACCAGGAAAATGATTCGTTACTCTCCCCGGCTGCGTTTATCCAGCGGAAAAACATCGCTGTGACCGCCACTGCCCGCGTTGGCCCCGGCATGGTCATCTGCATGGGCGAACAGGTGGTTGACAGCCATCACGTGGACTTCAACAAACCGACTTTATTGCTCGAAGTTGTGAAGCGGATCGGGAAGGGCGGGTCGGCGGAGGTGTTCGAGTGCGTTGACCTGCGAACTTGTGTGGGAGATGAAGGATCGACTACTACGACCTCGGGATCGGGCAGTCGTGGGGGCAACTATAGCTCCAACCATGACGGCGCGTCGCGAAGTGGTCAGCCCAATGGAACAAGCAGCAGTGCAAGTCGAAACAAGGAGCAAGGTTCTCCGTTATCCGTTAGCCGCTACGCACTCAAAGTCGTCTACGCTCGGGACGCGAGGCAAATGCGCTCGTTCGCCATGGAGGTAAACTGGCTGCGGGCTTTGCGGGACAAAAATCGGGCAGCGAAGGCCGGAACTAGTACCCAGAATGGTAGACACAACGCGGTGGACGAGCTGCGGGTAGTGAAGATGATCGGCGAAGCGAAATTTTTTCCAAAAGACTTGGTGATCCACATTTTGCTGGAATTCGCGGACTGTGGTATGGGGTGGAATAATGATTGTGTTGGTTTGTTTGAAAGAGATGGTTTCTCTGATTCTAAACCGCGATTAAGAAGATGGCACGCATGAAGATGCGCGCGGCAAGAAGCACCTTGTGCATATTTATTGACTCGGAGGAGTCGTGCAGGACCAGCCGCAAGCGCATGTAATTTGTCATCGCGATTGCCATAATTTTTGCATGTACAACCACATGATGAGCATGAGAAAATGTTGTCTCAATTGGAACAAGAACTGGCTCAACAACCAAAGAACCTCCTTTCCCCTCCGATACCCAATCTGCACTCCTTTCTTCGGAAGAACTACGAAATCTTTTCTATCTACGACATCCGCAATCTCTGGCGCGACATGGTCGCGGGCGTCGCGGCCATCCACAGTCTATCAAATGTAAAAATGTCTGGGTCTGGAAGAATGCAACTTGTGATGCTAACTTTGGACTCTAAAAAAATCTCTATTGCATGACCAGCAAGAGGCGCCCAGTTTGTGCTACGCGGGGAGGGCATTTGTCGTGCGGGATAGGCATCAGGAAGGCCTCTAGAGATATGTGATGCTAGAGCATGCATTACAGACATCCTGAGTCATGTAAAATATGCATGACAAACCTGGCAACCTTCCAGACCGAGACATTTTTACATTTGATACAGTCTCGGGCTGATCCACTTTGACCTGAAGCCCGCGAATTTCCTCATCGTGGACAACATCGTGAAGGTCTCTGACTTATCAAATGCAAAAATGTCTGGGTCGGGAAACTTGTGATGCAAATCAGTGAACAATAAGTGAACTGCAACGCACCGCCGAGCATGACAAGTTTTTTCGTGCCTCTGTGCTGCGCATTCCGCATAAGAAAGTGCGTTTTTGCATGACAGGCGAGAGAGGCTGTTTGTGGCCACGCAATACAGAGTGCAGAGTCATGCCAGACTAGCATGACACATCTTGCAATCTTCCAGGCCCAGACATTTTTACATTTGATATGACTTCGGCCTCGCGCGGGGGATCAACAAGGAAGAGGGTATAACCCACGTTTCCCGCGACCGCCAGTGCGGCACGCCGCGCTACATGCCGCCGGAGGCGTTCTACCAGCCGGACGAGGGGTCGGCGAGTTTGAAGATGCGCCCGGCGGCTGATGTTTGGGCCCTGGGGATCATCCTCTACCAATTGCTGTACGGGCGTGCGCCGTACGAGCATTTAGAGGGCTGCGGGATGCGGGCGCAGTTCGCCGTGGCGGATTCCCGGGTCCGGATTCTGTATTCGAGGTCCCGCAGGTGGGAAGAGCAGGACGCCGCGCTCTTCGGCCATCTGGTATCATTACTGCAAGTCACGCTGCGGTGGCGGTGGGAAAGGCGGTGGGACGCGCAGACGGTGCTGAAGTATTTGGAGGCGCCAGCACCAGTATCCAAGGAAAAAAATGTGTAAGTGTAACTTTTTTGCAGGAACAGCATCACAAATTTGCTCTGCATGACAGAGAAAACCTGTCATGCGTAGCTAGTACGCGAAAACACGTATGAAAATAGCCTCTGACGCACATCCAACATGACAAGTGTAACTGTATTGTAACGTCTGCAATACAAAGTTACACTTACACAGTTTTTTTCTTGCATAACCAGGAGATGATCTTGGGTATGATGCGAGTTTGCAGCCAGGCGAAGTAGGTCGTGGAGGAACCACGACCAAGAAAAGACAGCAAAAGCTGCTACTGAAAACGCCGAAAAATCTAGTCAACGAACAAGACATGAAAGGAAAGACGACGAAATGTATCGCAAGGAAAAATCCCCCCTCCCCATATTGAAGAGGTAGGCTTTCGCAAATTTGTGTTGCTGATTTGAGGTCACAAATCACGTTTGTGTTGCAAGAAGACAAGGGCAGCAGCTTCCGTCCCATTATGGAGGCGGTTTGTCATGCTGTTGAGCCAACATCACGGACGCTTCTCATGCTAAGCGCCTAAGTCAAAGCATCTCTGCTCAGGCTTGATATGGGTCTGCAGTCCTCTCTAGCAAGACAGATGTGATTTGTGTACTCAAATACAGCAACACAAACTCCGCTTTCGATATGGGGAGGGGGGATTTTTCCTCACAATAAAATGGAAGGGCCGCCGGCTATCGGACATTTACGAAGAGGAGTACATCGATCAAACGGCGTTTCTACCGCTTTTGGCGAAACAAGAGAGCTACTCCTACAACTCGACCACTGCTCTCGAGGGCACTACAACCGGTGGTGCGGAACTACAAGTGGAGCTATTGAAACGACGACAGGACGACGGCGTTGCGCAGGATGAACATCACGGCGGCGATGCGAATCAAATGCAGAAAGCCGACGGGAAGTCGGCTTGCGAAGGGGAGAAAATGTTGAAACACGGCATAAAGCGAGATTGTGGTAACGAACCGCCAGAAGAACACGAGCCAGAGCTGGTGTCATCCTCTGAGGAAGAGGTGGATAAGATAAATGCTCAGGAACTCCCTCCTGAAAGGGAAGGAGCCGATAATTCCTCTCTGTCACATCAGCAGCCTCAGAAGGCGGAAGATGTAACAGGAAGAGACTTTGCTCCTGCTTCCAGGAACAAAGCCGCATGCTCGGTATCTGCGACACGGACTTTCGACGATGAAGAGCAGCGCGACACGATGAGGACACCAAGTTTTTGTGCACGTGAAGATGTTGATGACCACGACGACCTTTCACAAGACAAATTTCACCCCCTGACAGAGGACCCCTCCTCATCCTCAACATCCTCCGCGGGCCCCTGCGCCGCTTTTTTGGCCTCTTCGCTCTCAACCATCATTATCACCATCATCGCCGTTTGTCTTCTCGCTGTTGCTACCGGCTTAGCAGTGCATATGGGCAACGTTAGCGAGGCGAACAAACAAAAAGCAGAGCTGGGGTCTGGGGACGGTGATGCGTATAATCCGTTTGGCGGCTTCGGCGGCGGGTATAAGCCGAATATTTTGGTCCCGACAAGAATTTTCAACGGGGATGGTGATCCAGGCAGTGGTGGTGGTGGCAATGGTGATCCACGTGGAGGAAACCCTAGCGGTCCACCAACAGCCCCCGGCAACGATGGTCCTGAGGGAGGTGGGCACGCCGACACAACAGCTCCACCTCCGCAGCACGTCCAACCGCTTTCTCCTCCTTCTCAGAGCTCACCGTCGTCAGTGTTGTCGACCTTGTTCCCCCCGGGACCTGTTTATGGAGCGGAGTTTCTAGCGCCGGCGAAACCAAAGCCAAAACCTGCAGGTCCGACCCCTGGTGTTGCAGCAGTACCGGCACCAGCACCGGCCGGTCCACCCGGGCCTGCTGCGCACGTTGCAGGCCCCGTTTCCGCCACTGCGCCAGTAGTGGTTCCTGCTGCTGCGGTGCCGGCTCAGCCGGCAGTACCTGCTGAACCGACCACCGCGGCTTCGACTGCAAGTCCGGCAACTGCAACTAGTCCTGCAGCTGACCCGGATGCTGTAGAAGCTCAAGCAGGTGAAGTACCAGCAGCGGGTAGCCGTGAGCCACCATCATCTGCTCCGTCCGCGTCACCGCCTGATCCTCCGGAAAGTGCTGATCAGACGGATAGTACGAGTGGTTGTAGTCCCAGCACCGAGCAAACGATGAGCAGTGCTGAACAAAACCCCGCAGCGGGGGCACAGCAAAGGACAAGAGAAGGCGAGGAAGGCAACCAGTCGCCGGGAACTACCAGCCTTCATGATCAGGATCTCGAACTGCAGCAAGACCAAGAACTTCTCCACTCTGCTGCCACATCAAGTGTTGCACAGCAGGAGGTGTTGCCGCAGCAAGACGGAACAGACACGGCGCAAATGCGACCGCGCACAGGCACGTCCGACAGTGCAGAACTACAGTCCACGACGGCTGCGAGTAGTGATTCGGGTTGTGGCGTTGCTGTTGGAACTGACCAGTCGTCAGCTGAGGGTAGTGGCAGGATCGATCTTTTGGGCCAACGTTCAAGTAGCTCAAGCACAGCCACCTCAAATCCGATTCTGGACAACCAGAGCGGCTCTGCGCAAGGAGCTTCAGCCCGTACGGGAATCGCCAATCATCCGACAGGGGAAGGTGCTCCTGGTTCCTCACTCCCTGATGCCTCGAGTCCCCCTGGGACTCCTCACACGGCAACTGGTAGCCACACTGAAGGCGCCCGCGCTAATGAGCACAGCGGGCATGTATCATCGAGCACACAAGGATCGGAAGTGGTCGGAACCGGCGCACAAGAAGACGAAGACCAACAGCCTCCACGGGAGGGTGAAAACCCAGATGATAGTTTCGATGAAGGTGAAAACGCATCAGACGACGGACAAATATCTGTACTATCATCAAGCCTGGAAGCGGGCTCTGTGGCAAACGGCTATGACTACTTCGACGAACAGCTGGAAGCGATTTCCGACGAAGATGACGACAGACCGGAAACTGCAGAGCAGGCGCAGTTCCCCGATGAAAGCTCACCTGCAGGTCGTGATGGTGGTGGTGCTGATTCTGCGTCTCGTGTCGTAGAAGGCGGCTCCTCGAGCTCCTCAGCACCCTGGCGCCCAGCTGGTGGCGGCGCAGTTGCCACAGAGTCAGGGCAAGATCGTGGCAACCGCCCGATGTCAGGCGGTACTAGCTCGTCTAGTTCCGCGGCGTACGTCGCGCCGGTGCAGGAATCAACAAGAACGGCAGGGCTATCCGGTAGCACGACTACGACTGGTGGGGGCACAGAAATGCAAAAGAGCAATAGACACCTGGGCGAAAGCGGGACCCAAATCGCGTGGCAGCAACACGAAGAAACAGAAGCGGACGAATCAGGCGTCAAGTCGCTGATGAGACGGCAGCAGCACGGAGAAAGTTGTGAAGATCTCTTTCTCGAGGTTCTTCACGAACGTATAGGACGAGACTCGAAGCCTGGTGATTTTTGCGATCAGGAAGTGGACCTCGGTCAAGACAGGCTGCTGGAGGCGAACGCGGCACTAGGGATACCTGCCACAGCCGCAGACGAGGACCTCGCTTTCCCTGCTGACCGCTGGGCGGTATAAGAAAATTTGATAGATATGATTATTTACTCTATATTGTAAATGTAATGAGATTTGAGACGAGCATCTTCTTCTTCTTCTGGTACTCGTTTCCTCTAAGAATATTTTATAGTGAATCCCGTAGTAAGTAAATCTCAATCTTCTATCACCTGCTGCATTCGTCGATGTTATATTCATCCAGGTTGCGACGATTCTAGCGTTGATGCCCTTCTGTCACGTTGATCTGCCGCAAGGGGATCTGAACAAGGAGTACTTCAATTGGCCCATGTATGAAGACATTGTCTACGATCCGGAACGCTTGCGTTCGGGATGCGTTCGCGAAGACAAGAAATTTTTCGGAGAGGTATGGAACTTTTTCCACGAGAAACGGAGGGAAAATGGGACCGAATCCTCGGTAGTGGTGTGGGACGATCCTCTGATTTACAGGAACAGCAACCCCAGCATACAGGGTAGTAGCACGTCGAACGCCGGAGTCCATGTTGACGATGAGGAAAAGCGGACTGCTAGAGAGCGGCGCTGCCGTATTGGTATGGTGACTGAGCACCTGTTTCAAGCGGACACCAGGATAGAGGAGTTCGTCGTCCGCCGCTTCAGCGTTCCATATGGTACTTAGTAAATCTCTAATATTACTATTGGCTACACCAATGAAAGCTCCGCGAGTTCAAATCTTTTCCATGGCTGCTCTATGTGCGGACCACTCATGTCCAGAGCTGTTTTTTTTTTTTGCAATTTTTGTATTTCGCGTTTGGCTAGCTTCAAATGAGTTGCGTAAAAGCTCAGGAGCTGAAGCAATGGATCGCTTCGTACGTCAGAAGCTTCGTACGTCAGAACGTTTTTTCAAATAATTTCTTTTTGCAATGCTCACAGGTTACTGCCTCAATACCGACTCGCCGCTGGCGCTGGCCAAGAAATCACGTCAATGGCCCGAAGTCATGCTCTCACAACTCCAAAACGAGGGTGAAATTGCCGAAACGTCGGCTGTGCATCCCAGATGGCACGAGCTTTTCCAGCTGGACTTCAAGAACAGAGCGTCTTTTTGGCGGCAGAGTTCGGACACGAGAGGAGCCGAGTGGTCGTATCGCCATTTTCGCTGGACTTGGACCAGGGCGCGGTCGAGCTCCGTTCCGTGCAAGAATGAAAACCCGTTTCGTTGGAACAGAACTACGAAGCACATGTACGAAAATTTCCATCCCAGGAGCCAGGCCGTCAAAGACAAGTTCGCTACTCTACTGCAAGACATTGAACTCCCAGCTGGTCCGTCTTGACGGCTTCTTCATCAGATGTGCTCCGAGAAGGAAAGTACGGGGCATTCTAAAGACAATTTTCTGGTTATTTCGCGTAGCGAACAAAATGGCAATTGGTATTTTTGCACGAGAACTGCAAAGGCCGCGTATCATCGGGGGCGGAAGCACGAATTACAAGAGGCGAGGCGGACCTCCAAGAAATCAAAATAAAACCCCGCTGCGCCATGTGTGAAAGAATGAACAACTACAAGAGTGGCGGAACAGCGACGTCTGACACAATGAATTACTTCTAATTGTATACTCATCTTCCTCTTGGCGTCACTAGATGACGATCTGGGTTGAGGCGATAGTATGGTCCGAGGCATGCAGATCGAATAAAAAGAAGCAGATAAAGTGCCTAGTCTTGAAGCCCCAATAATTTGCACTGCCTGTGACAACTCAAAATCATGGCGCCTATCCACACGCCCGGCCAATTGTCTACCACATCAAACCCAGCTACTTGGTCGCAATCGCGGATAAGGGCTCTGAAATGAAAGATTGTTGGTAAGTTCTTGATCCAGAAATAGTTGGGCTCCATGTTAGTCACAGCCGTTTATTTAACAAAACGAATGCAAGAACAGGATGATGAAAATTCGCTCCACTCCTAAGGGCAATTGTTTGAAATGCCATTCCTTGGGGCCCGCAAAGATCAGATTGCATGACCCACGATTTCCTTGCACGAATTGCGCACGTCAGCTTGTTCAAAGTCAATCGCTGCTGGGGCGACCGGTGCCGTCTGACTATCAGTGCGGCTCTTCCGCGGTCTCATGTTGCTGAACAAGTAGAACGGCCACGAATGGTGTGCTGCACTCCAAAGCCTTAGGCTCACGAAGGATCCGTAAAAGCTGTTTCAGGCCTCGTGGACTCGTATCAAAAGCGCATAAAAATCAGCGACCTAGCAACAGCCATTTTGTTTTCAGCAAACATGTACTTATTTTTGTAAAATTTTATTTCGAACATGGGTGGTTTTGACTGATGATTTTACGATTACTGATAGAGGCTGTCATATCTTCTCCAGTACCTCTATACTACCTTGATATACCGTCGCACATAAAAGAGAATTGAAATAATGCCGAACAGCATCAGTTTATGTATGATTATAGCTTTGCGCTCTTGACTCGTCGTCGAAAGATATTTATACCCCACACGCTTGTCGTTGATGTAGCAGATTCAAAAAGAGATATCTAAATTTGAAAATTCTGCTTTGATGGTATTCTTGAAGCATATCAAAATCAAAGCATGAGATCGGTCAGTACTCTTCTAGGCATCCACCTATTGTGTCTCGGCGCAATTCGTGGCACATGTGCCAGCAGCAGCAGCAGTAAAGGAGAATTGAATGCAAGCGCACGCTCGCAACTCGACTCGCGTTTTCCACCGCCTCGCAGGAATGAAAGTCGCTTGCAGCACGAGCGGGAAAACCGCAGCGCGTCGCAGCTGAGAAGAATCGCTAACGTGCCTGAGAATGCTGCAAAAACTCTGAGTTCCTTTGCTGATCGCCCTGTCGCAACCGTGCGAGCCCACATGAAGAGGCTGTATGATGCTGTGCGTACTCGATCGGCAAGCCCTGACGCAGGCCGGAGACCGTCGAAAAGAAGCAGAAGTGACGGCTCCCCAGCCGAGAACAATGCTTCACATCCGCCCGCCACAGTGAGGAACGAAGAGGAACAACACGAGGCAGGTCGGAGAGAGCAACGCAAGCTGCTCGACGACATCAAGAACGCCGAACCAGGCCTGATGATGTTTGGAAACATGAAGCTCAATGAAAACGAGGGCATTCTGAGTTTTTTATCAGCAGCGGAGGCGGGAGCACTCCTTCACACGAGTAAATCGCATTCGCAGAAAGATGCCAATGGCAGGAAAGTTGCTGCGGCGGCACTTTCTCAAGCCATTGATGACCGGACTCTCGCGAACCGCACGGAAAGCTGTGAAGACCTTTTCCTCGAGGTGCTACGAGAAAAAGTGGGAACGAACCTGCCTCGGGACTATTGGAATAAAGACGTCGATCTCGGGAGAAGCTACTTGCATTACTTTCAGAAGGAAATCGAGGGACCACAAAACGCAATTCCACCACACTTGACAGAGTGGAGCGTAAGTCATGTTAGTTTTGATCCAGATTTATATTTACTCTGTGGCAGTACCAGTACACTTTCCTTTGTACTATCATTTTGTAGCGGACTTTACTTTTTGAACCCGTAGGAGCATAAACCGCCTTCACTTTTTGAACCCGTTGCTTTTGATGTTTTCTTGTGTATCGATTCTGCTTTTTGGGGCGTAACAAGAACAAGTATCGCTAAACTACTACATGGAATGCAAGTTTGCTGTGATTCATCTTCAAATGCATTTATTATCAAAGGTGCGATTGCTTATGACGATGGGCCGCGAGACCTGCAGCCCAGCGGCTGCCTATGAGTTTGATCTGGGTAGCGAGTGGATCATTCCGGAAACCTACGGCTCCGCCGCCCTGTCCAGTGGATGTCACAAAAGTGATAGAGCCTTTTTTCGAGAAGTGCTAGAGTTTTTTCATGAGAATGTACCAGAGAAGAAGAGTCGCCAATCCATTGCAGCTCGTTTCCGTAGCAGAAGAGCAAGTGCAGCGGGCACGGCCAAGCTGGTAAAATGGACTCCCCCAGAAACGCTGTCGTTTTCCAGGACCAATCCCGATGCTGTGCTGCCGCGGGTGGATATGGCTGTGAACCCGAATAAGGACGTTTTGGATAGCAGATGCCGACTAGCGATGGCCACAGAATTCCTTTTTCAAAAGGATATGGACGTGTACAACCTCGAATTTCCTGTGAAGCACGGTAAAAATCTGTGGCAGTTTGTTTTTGCAATATCGGCAAAAAAAAATTTTAAGCATACTTAATATTCTGGTGCAATCTTTTCTTCTATTGCGCTTTCGAATTTCAATTTCATACCAAACACAAAAAAGGTTATTGTCTAAACCCCTGGGATGACACGTGGATAAGCCGTAATAATTTTATGGTGGAGGACCCGATCGATGAGACCTGGTATCCGTACGTCCGGCGCGTTTTTCGTAAATTCGCTGAAAAATGGCGGTCGGGCTCCGACGGAAAGGCACTACAATGGTCGTATGATCAGTTTCAGTGGGACTGGCGAAGCTGTCACGCAAAACGGCTGAAAGACTCGCCGACGTACAAGTTTTTGAAGAAACTCAATCCGTCGAGAACAAAGTTGCCAACCATGTTAGCTGCCCGACCAGCAGACTTTCTCGTTGCTCGGCCGTCCAAAATCGCGGACGACTTGTGTTAGCTTCTTCGGAAAGTGCGTGCCCGTGTGTGTGGTGTGGACATGGTGAAAACGATGTCGAGAGACATGGAGGTGCTCACGTGCTGTCTGGAGGCCATACTCCAGGCTTGTGAGCTGCCGGACACGAAAACGCAAGACTTAGTTAGAAAATCGCACTTGGCTACTTACTGATTTGATTACAGCTGTAATTGGCACTTCCATCACACCAGAAAATCGCTACTTGGCGTCCTTGTATATACTTTTGCTGTATGATTTACCTATACTTAGAATCAAATTTGAGAATGCTTTCTTGCGTTGCATAAGCCTTAAACGTCATTGATCTTTTTACAGAACAGTGCACGACTCGTGCTTGGCTTGTCTGCACGAAGATGATGAAGAACTTCGTCAACTTTTTCACAGATACTTACAATGAATAAGTCTACCTGTAAAATGAATGGGCGCACAAAAATATGTAAGTGAACATAAGGATTATTGTTATCCGGTGTACGAGCACCCAATGGACCAACATCAATGCGCAGGATCTGAAAAAAAATGCTTCGCCGGCTGTCTAATGAATGGCTCATCGCTTTCATCTTTATCTCTTCTAAGTGTAATTGTCGACCCTGAATGTACTAGTACGCGAGCACGCCTTGCGTCTTGCTCTTGCGTATACGGGGATATCAACTTCCATTTCCGCCACTCTCGGTTCAGTAGTAAGATTGATGTGTCTGAAAATGTACATAGTGCAGGCTGTCTACAAATCGTGTCCATAGCGGTCTTGTTCACCAGTTGACGAGAATTGACCGAATGAACATTGTTCCAGAAACGAAAGCTCCACTCTGGTAAATACCAATCCGAATTCAATCAAATATGGATATCAAGATGAGATCTGGAATTACAGACACAGAGGATCTTAAAATGTGAAAGCACTTCCGTGCCGTGGTCTCGTTGTAAATGAAAATTGTATAAATTATTGATTGCCCATGTCATTGAGCTTTTTGCCTTCCCTGTGCCATCCTCGATGGCGCTTTGTATAAAATGAATCGAGTTGGGCAGCTATACCACCGCCAAACGCCGAAGATCACAAAAATACTTGCAATTGGCACAGCTCTTCCGAGGCTTAGTTGGCTGATTTTTTCATTAAGCGTGAGTACAAGTAGCGCAACAGAGGCTTCAGTCAGTATCTATTTCTTTCCGTCTCTTTTCGAAAACCGGGCACCGGCTTTGTCGTGTTTACACAACTGTAGCTGAAGAGTTTACAAAACGTCCAGTAGAGTACCTCTACTAGCGATATTCGCTTTATTGCTTGATAACGGATTCAATTTCGATCTGGATCGTAACGATAAGTGGACATAGATTTCCAGCTTTTTATACGTACTCAAGAAGAAGAAGAAGCGGTGCAATTGCATCATTGTGGAGCAGAAAATGAACGCCTCTCTGTCTGCGCCGGGGAGGATGTTGTGGCGTTGCTGCCTTGGCATCTGTTGCATTTGGGTTAGCAGATTATCTTCGACGACGAATGTTCTTCGATTCGTTTCTGCTGCAGCCTCAGGCCCCCGTTCGCCGGTGGTGCTCGGTGGCGACAAGAAAGCGAAGCCGTGGAGAGAGGTTGTGAAGCAGAAGTTCCGGTGCGGTTGCACAGGTTGCAAGGCGATCAATTCAGTCTTTGCGGCCATGGTCGCAGATGTCAGGGCAAAGCTCAGTAGCAGGTCGCGGGCTGAGGCTGAAGAAGTGATAGACGATTTGTGGGATGTTCTTGGAGATCAATTGGGCCAGCTGCGGCTCGATATGATGCAAGGAGGGCTAGCCTATTGGGACGTCCTTGACATAGATCCAACTGGACCTGTAAAAAAACACCTGCTGCGCGGCGCTATATCTCATGATGGTGCCGGACGGAACCCCAAGTGGAAGGAGGCACTGTCGGTATGCCACACGCTCATATTCAAGTTTGGAGAACGGCCGAGACCCCCTGTTGAAAGCCAGCAAATGATTCTCCTTGGCGTGTGTCTCGGTATTTCAGTAAGTAATTTTTTCTTGTTGTCGAATATGTGGAGGTTGCAAACCAAAAAGATTTTTCGATGGCGAGATTTGAGCAAGCAGAGACTAGGAAGGTCATACAGGCAGTTGTGTTTCGTCCAGCGAATTCCAAAGATAGCGAAGATGCTTCATGGGTTGTGTGAGAAGTTGGGTCAGATGGGATTGCACATCACAATGTTGGACAGTGTGGGCGTCAGGCGACAAAAAATTCTTCCTTATCTTCTACATAACAGAGAAAGCATTGGATCCGAGAGACAGCGCGGGGACGGGCTTCGAGCGTTGGCAACAGAACTATTTCTCGACTTCACCGAGTGCTGCCTCACCCAGAGAGAAGCGGGAACACCGGTGCCGTTTATTGTATTTGATGTATTTGGCGCGCGACGGATCTGACGAGGAGGCTGCCGATGGTCCTCGGGTGCGGCTTAGCCAGCAGGGGAAGAAACTTCTGACTTCCAAGTTCTTTGACAAGCACTTGCCTTTTGCAAAGACGCGCTGCGCAGCAGAACAAGAGGCGATAACAGGAAGTATTGCTCGCGACATTTGTTTACAGTTCTGGCTCGTTGTGGCCAAAAAGTTCTTTTCTCTTTCTATTTATTTTGATCGAAATGAGATGCTACGACATCCACGTGTGTCACAGTTGCTGGTGCTTGAATCATCGAAAAAAGCTTCTTTTTCGTATGATTTTACTCTGCCAAAATACTGATCCTAAATGCTGACTTTTCAGGAGGAGGATCGCGAGGATCGCGAGGAGGTGCAGCTCCGGTTCAGTTGCCAAGTACCGTTTATGTTGAGCTCGGAGTCACAACTCAGCCGGCGAATCCGCAGCTTGCGAAGTACGTCCGACTGGCGACTGAATTTCCGCTGCATCCTGATATAGAGCTTCGCTCTATTTTTGCCCCAGTTCGAGCAGCGTATCAAGCTTACGTGGAGGAGCGGCGCAGGATGCGACAGAGAGGGCGCCGGCCCCCGAAAGGATATTTGCGGGGAGTTCGCTTGCGGCTCTTTTCTCGCGACTCAGCTGGGAGCGTGACTCGAGTCGGGATGCAAGATCTGCTTTTTGCCAGAGCGGGGAGGCACACGGATGGACACGGCAAAAAGGAAGCGCCGCCGTCAATCGACACTGTCCTGAGAGGTGGTGACCTCCTCAATGAAGTTCGTGAAAGGGCGAACGGGGAATTCGGTCCTTTGTCGATCTCCGGGTCCGCCACACGCCAGTCCACTCCGAGCAACGGCTTGTTTTTCCGTCTCGAACTACTTCTAGAAGGAAGGCAGGGGCCGTTTTCTGCAACGGAAGGTACTTCGTTTGGTTCGAGATGCGGCGTTGAAAGAGATGATGACCTCCAGTCGCCGGTGCAAGATCACCACTTTCCTCGGCACGTCACTTCTTGATTACTTAACATTGATTTGCTTCTGAACTTGACAAGCCGTAATATTTGTGCATATTGTAGTTGGAAACCAATCTCAATACCACACAGGCGGACCAGGCTATCTCGGGGACGACGATGATGACGATGACCCCAGTGACGACGATGACGACGATGGAAACGGCGGCCCAGGACCGTCGAGAGCCTCACTTTCGCTCCAACAACCACAGGCCAGGACGGCTGCCGGTGTTGCCCTTGTTCCGCGTGGCGGAAATCCTGTGCAAGGAAATCGGAATCAATCGGCGGAGCATGGTGCCGAACCAGTAGCAACGATGAACTTCCTTGGATTGAGCATGCTCCGCGGGGGCAAAATTGCTTCCACTGAAGCTAGTCATGGTGGTGGCAACGCTGAGCACGGAGACAAGCAGCAGGCGGCTTCTTGGTGGAACGAGACCACATTTGCCAACGATGCCGCCAGGGCTCACTTCGCTGCCGCCATAGAAAACGAAGTTCAGAAAGCCGTCACGAGTGAGGGGCTCATGCGCTCGCGCGCGGTTCTTTTGGTGGAGCAGCTAAATTGGTCGCGGCCGAAGCCAGCGCTTCTCGGACTCTCAGAAATGTTCGGGCAACGGGGGAGAGAATCCGTTGAGGAGAAACGAGATGTAGTTATTTCTTTCTACTTATATTATTGACTATGGCTACTATGTAGATGTACTCACACTCAGTAAGTATGAGTGCCCATCGAAGTCGGAATGCAAGTATTTTTCGCACATAGATCTCGCGTCGTGCGACTTTTCGGGATCATTTGCACTTGGAGGACTAAAAACACTTCTTATCTTTGAAGCTGGTGCACGAGCAGTCGCGTTTTTGTGCCGTTGATCTTGTTTCTTGTAGTCCTACATATGCCTGAGTTTGAAACCAGTCAGGCCTTGCAAAGAGCTGTTTGGCGACAGCATCATCTGCCTCTGCCCCTCCCCCTTCGGTGCAACGTGGACATCTAAAATCAAATCAAATCAAAAAACAGGCTCTCCTTGTCGCACAAGGCCGTCAAAGAAAAGGTGACGCAGGCGTAATGCTTGCCGTGGCATCGTGGAGTGTCCCACTCGGCGCGTCCGCGGTATCCGACGGGGCCTTATTCGTCGTAGGACACATGCTGCAGCACCTCGCGGACGTGGCGCGCACCTATAGTAACTGGGAAGCGTCCAAATTCGCCCTGAGGCACATGACGACCCCGCTGGAATCCGCTATAAATTGGGAGCGAGGTGCAGCGCCGGCCGAGGGGCCCGAAGAGGGAGTCGACGGCCTCTGGGATAATGCGCGCAACGTGCTCATGCGGTTTGAGCGTATGGAAGGGCCTAAGGACGTGCGGCCGGGCGACGCCTTCAGCAGCTTCTCGAAGAAAGTGGAACGCAGGGAACGTGTTGTGAACCTGCTGACCCTTAAACCACGGCTCCTTGCAGGAATCAGCCTCAGTAGGGAAGACGAACAACGGGTGCTGGGCATGGAACTCAGCGGCAAGACCATCCTGACCTTCCATGAAGACAAAGAAAACGTTATTTCGCTTGTAGACGTCGGCTCCCAGGTCCGTTCCCTCAGTAGCCACGGACGAAGTCTGCGTGTGTCGAAATCTCGCGAAGAACATGGAACCACCCGGGCCCGCCGTCGAGCGTCTTCTACGGGACGAGCGGAGTGTCGTACTGCCCCTGCGCAAGCCGAGCCGCTTGAACTCGTGCTTGCAATTGAGGGCGGGGAAAGCCCGAGTGGACAGCCGACGCCTGTGCGCGCTGCGCTCACACGATTTTTGCAACTAGGCGTTGCGCAACGGTGGTGGCAAATTGTGAATGCGAGTGCTGCCTTGCACTTGTCAGCCTTCGCAGAGTGCGTGAGGCGTTCGGTGGCACTCCGGGTGTTTGCGTTCGTCGTCTTTACCGGGGTCCTGCAGCATGTTCTTTACGAACAGCGCATGCCGCGCGTGCTTGTCTGCCCCACGAACGGCTCCGAATGCTGTTCTGTACGAACGCGGGAGGGCATGGTTCTCGCTGACGGCTACCAACAAAACTCGACTGCAGCGCCCTATTCTACTCCAGCTTGCAATGCCGACGAGGTTTTGGTCCTTCCTAACTTTCACACCGAAGAGAAAAGGCTGACAGGAGTAATTGCAGCGCAGAAAGAGCTGCTCCAGGCCGCAGGCCGCAAGACCGAAACCGCGACGCGAAAGGCCGAGGCAGCGGAGATGAGGCAAGAACAAGCAGAGGCCGATGCCGAAGCCGCTGAGCGCAGTCGAAACAAGCTGCAGAAGGAAGGAGCTGCCCAAGCAGAAAGAAACAAAGCCGAAGCAGAATCCGCTGAGCGCAATCTGAAGAAGCTCCTGAAAGAAGGGGCTGCCCAAGCAGAACGAAACGAAGCTGACGCAGAATTCCACGAACAAGAAGTGGCCGAGTGGAGGCGCACGTTTACGACCGTCTGCTCGTTACGAGATCCGAACAACTGCTGCGCCGTGCCGAGAGCTGAGCTGGAAAATTCGCGGGACGTAACGCTCGCTGAGAACTACGAAGAGCGGCCCACGCAATCCTCCCTGGGCATACAGATGTGCCGTGATGGGCGTATCTTCGACCCTCCAACCCCGAATTTGGTGGAGAAGCATCAATACCTGATCGACAGCCTCCGCGCCAACACGCAGCGTCGCGACAAGGTTGCGCGAGAAACGCGGGAGGCGGAGGCAGCCGCAGCGAAGGCGTGGAAGTCGGCAGCCGCCGGGCAACAGGAGGCTGACAAGATCAAAGCCGATCTTGCGGCGAACAAGAAGTCGTGGAGCCATCTGCACCCACAGATGAGTGGCACTTACGACGGTGTGGTGCCAGTGATGAATGCGGCGGCGCCTTGCGCCGGTGTCGGGAAGGACGGGGAGCACTTCCGTCACGAGCAAGGAGAGTTTTGCACTGGCCCCGGTGGTGCGAACGCCCGTCGTCTCGCACTGTGTCCTGATCCCGGCAACGGCAACCAGGCCTGCGTTTTGAAACTCGACTGCGACAAGGCGAACCGGGACGACATTTGTTGGGCCGGGAACTGGACGTTCGATCCGGAGCTGTCCCGTGGCTGCACGGAAATGAGCGACGCCGATCTCTTCCGCATGTTTGGGGAATTCGAAGCCATGCAGGGAAACACGCCCACAGCCTGCGAGCACGGCTGGCCGGCCCGGCAGCTCGATGGAAACAGCAACCCGATTTCGCATAGCGTCGGGCTACTTCAATTTTTCCCCGCCAACACGGCACAGGCACGCGCCTTCAGACGCGGCGTGCAAAAAGTGGCTTCCGACGTGTGGAAGCAGGTGTCGGCGACGATGGGAACCCTCAAGGCGGCCTGGAGCACCGACGCTCCGGCAGGCAGTGAGGGGGGGCAGGATGGCGATTCGTCGGTCTGCGCGCATCCGGGCAGTAAGGTGTCTTCTGCGGTCGGAAAACCGTATTTCAAACTGCACTCACGCACCGGAGATGGGGCCTGTAAGGTGAAGAAGCATCACGGGAAAACGAAGACTGCCAAACGAAGTGGGAAAAAGCAGAAGAAGGAACAGCAGGGTGGCAGGTGATCGAGTTGGACTACGTCGTGACTCCAAGGAAGTTCAGAATCAAAGTAATATTTGCCAGTCGTTATCGTGTGCGAGCGACAAACTGGCGACGTCGAAATTGAAAGCACACTGTGGACGACGGAAATTGTGACTCAGATGCGTAAGACCGAGTGGTTTATACTCAGTAGACAGTAGGTCCTTAGGTTGGGACATAGTGTATTCGGGTGAAGCACTGGTCAGTCGTAGTTTTCCCGTAGTATGATTTAGTTTTTGATTCGCCCACTATTCCCACAGATACAGACTGAGACTTTTTTTACAACTTCTTCGTTGGAGGAAGTAGAATGCCAGCTGCAACAGAACACGTACCTTGGGAGAGCCGTCACGAGTATACTAGCAGAAGGCTTTGGTGATGAAATGTAAAACAGCAAGTCCTAGATTACTAAAACAGTCATACTAAGTACATTTAAGTGAGTTTACGAAGCAAGAAAAAAACCGGAACCAGTTCTGCGCCAGCCTTTGTGATGCTGTGCAGCAAGATCTGGGACCAGAAGTCTATTTAGAGACCGCAAGAACCTTATATCTTTTTGGGGTAGCACCAGTATTGCATTGCGACGCGAGTTTTAGACACCCACTAACAACCGCATCAAGTGCGAATTTGCGAACATCGAGTTTTGGAAGTTTTCGAAACTACCTGTATGATCAAGAACAACTTTCCACATATAGACGTTTTGTAAGATTGCGTTGCCATAGTTGGACGGGATGAGCCACGTGGTGATGAAGTCATAAGTTTTTATCTTTTTGGAAAAGTAAAAGTTGAGTAAGAGTATGGATTGGAGAAAGATGCAAGCATGATGAGTAAGTACTACAGCACGTCGCGGCCAGGGCCGAGTAAACTAACAATAACGTCGTGAAAAAAAAGTGTCTCGCCACTGAGTTTAAGTTTGGTACACCAACTAGCATCTGTGTTTCTGGATCTGAAAGGAAATGCTAACGTAGACGACCAATAGGTCAAACAAGGTTTGTATGATATCAAGAAAAACGGACATACAAGAGCACGGGTCGCCATGGCGGCAAAACCAAACGAAGTACTTACATCGAAGAAAAGAAAAATCGCTGGCCGAACAGGTGCGTTGTTCCAGGTTCGACTTCGATTGGAAATTCGAGAAATGTTTTCCCTTTGTGTTGAGCCCTGCATCCGTGCATTGTCGGAAGTGGAAGTAACCCAAGTCAGTGAAGCTTCTTTCGTTCTCGTTTTCGTCCGGCAGCACCGTGCTACGGCCAGAAGAAGTCTTGATCCGGAGCGAAAAGCTGATCCGTGACTGAGGGAGAAGGATAGATCTCTTTATAACGGATCAGGATGTGAGTCATACTCTGATACTACAGATCCCGACTCATGCAAACAAGTACATCCTCGGAGCATGGGGTTTAAGGAGATGAGTAAATGCATGATTGGACGTAGAAGCGAACAACTCTATCGCAGTTTGACACACTGTGGTATCCGGCTATAGCATTACTTGGACCCTGGACCTGTTTACACCCAAATACAGTCCAAGGGGAGCGATAGACCCAAGCTCTTCTATATGGCAACGGAGAAAGATGGAAATGCAAGAAAAGCGACGCACTTTCGAATTACGCCACGCAAATTGTTCTATCTTGTGCAACGCACACCCGTAGATGACCAAACTTTTCTAAGGAGATGGAGCACGAAGATGGAAATGCAACTAGCGCCATTTTTGTTTATCTTTTTTTTGCAGAATAGCGATAGGGTCTAGAAAAAAAAAATAAAAAATCAACCGACAGAGAAAAGTCCAACCCGCACAGAGAAAACTTCGCCACACATAAAATATTCTCGTCGTGCAGAGAAAACTCCCCGCGGTGAACATGGTCGCAGAACTAACCTGCACGCGAGACACTGGCGCAGCTTCTGCACGCCTACCCTCGCGCGGTCGGCCTGCGTGCGTTTTATTGTTTTTTGAAAAAATCCGCGCCGAGCGGCATCCCGTGCTGCTTTGCAGCTTCAATACGTAGGCGCGGAGCTCCTTCACGCCTTTGACTGAAGCTGGTCCCTGTGGTGCTGTGGAAGGGTTGGCCGAGGCGGCGCACGTGCATCCACAGGGCCGCTAGGCTTCGCCGGGGTGTGCAACCACAAAAGCGCGCGGCGGCGCCTTCAGGCTATTGGGGGCGCGCGACGTGCAGGCGTGTGGCAGCAAGCGCGCAGGCCCGCGCGTGCGCAAATTCCTGGCGGGCTGCGCCTTTGCAGTTGCAGTTCACGCGGAGGCCTTGCTGTTGCAGTTCACCGCGGGGCAGGGACTTCCTTCCAGCAAGCCGGCCCGCCGCAGGTGCCCCGCGAGCGAGCGGCGCAGAAGGTGGGAAGGCTTTGCGAGCGCGCCGCGCCGGTTTACTTATCGGCCTGCCGGCTTTGTACAGCGCCGCGCCCGTCGTGGTCCCCGGCGGCGGCGCGGCAGGGGCGGAAGAAAGCGGAGGAAGCGGAGGAAAAGGCGCGGCGCCGCGTTGGGGGGGCGAGTGGGCGGCCGTGGCTGTTGGTTTTTGTTTGTGTGGCGTGTGGGTGGGCGAGCAATGCGGCTGGCTGCTACAGGTCGGGGAGTTTTCGGGCAGCCCGCGCTCTTCTGTTGCGATGGGGAGAGGGGGGCGGCGCTCTGCAGTCCGGGCGCGTCTTGGTGTCGCCGGGCCCCGGCCAGAATTCCTGGCGCGGGCGCCTTGTCTGCGCGAACTAACGACAAGGCAGCGCGTCTGGTTGCGCAAGCTCCAGAACCCGACGGGCTTCGTGCTGCCGCAGGCCGCCCCATTCCCGGCAGACAAAAGGGCAAGCGCCGCGCCCGCCAGAGCGGTCAAGAAGCGCGCCCGCCGGGGGCCCGGCGCCTCGGCTTAAACCTCAAGCCAAAGCAGACTTCTATAACGATGGGCGTCGCGGTCGCTTCCAAAGTCCCCACGCCGAACGTGCGCGCACTAGTTCAGGTCAGCAAAGGCATTAAGCGATCGCTGTCGCAAGCTTCTGGCGCAGTTCCATCAGTGAAGTCACGCACTAGCAACATGGCGGCGAATTTGCCGGGGCGAGGCGGCTACAGCTCCGCCGGCAGTTTGGGAAGCCCTGCAGCTGCCTCGGCGGCCGAGCCTGTGGAGGGCTGCGGCAGTTCGCCTGCTGCGAGCTGGCCGGCCCGGCGAAGGACGGAGAGGGGGCCAGGCGCTGGCGGTGCCCTGTTGTAAAAGAGCGGTGGGGTTGTTGCTTCGACACGGAGCGAGGCCGTCGCGTCATCAGGGCGAGCAAGACCGCCAGCAAGGACACCAACGCCGCCGCCACAGTGGCCACCGGTCTGCCGTTTGGCAGGCGGGCTTCCGTGTTTTTTTGATGCCGGCGCGCGCCACCTCTTGGGGCCGGCGCGCGGCCCCCCTGCGGCAGCCCGCGCGAGCTGGCCTGGGCCGCCTTTTTTCTTGCGAAGCAAGCGATGGGAGCGAGGACGGGCCTTGCTGGCTGGGATTGTTTCCCGGGCGTGAAGGGTTGGCCGGCCCGGTGTTTGTCTCTCTCAGTGGCCGGCGCGCAGGTCCGGGGCCTTCGTGTGTCCCGGTCGCGCGAATAGTGCGCGCGGGCATTTTCCTGCCCGTTGCATGGCCGGCACGGTTTTCGTTGCCCGCGTGCTGCACTGCTCCCGCCGGCATCAGCCATGTTGGCCGGTGCTCGATCGTCTTCCCTTCGAACGGGGGAAGAAGTGCCACCGTGCCTCTGTATTAAAAGCGAAGCTCTTGTGATAACGTGACAGACGCCTGGCGGTTGTGGGGCCACGCGCAATCTGACGCCGTGTGCCTTCGTGTTCTCGGGGTCGGTCCTAGGCTGCGAGACGAAGCATCTGATATTGTTTAGCCCCTGCTTCGCTCTCCACTTGCTCTTCGTGTATGAGCGCCATCATTTCGGAAGCACCGCCACTTCTCAGTAGGACTGCATCTCGCTGGAACTACCTGCTTACAGTGCCACGCACAGACGTCAGCGCCAGCGTTGCTATCACAAAGAACAGAGAGTGAGAGCTGCAGCCTCCACATTACATATAAACAAGCGCGGACCACCAGCACGTATATTACGTCGCCCAGCTCGAGGGCGTCAACCCCAAGACCTCATGGCCATTTTCGCAAGAAAATTCTCCTTCTTCCGCTCTCTCGTCCTCTTCTGCTGCACGTCACACATAATCCCTGCGGAACCGGAAGTATTAAAAAGCGATTTTCATCACAGGAGCACGCTGCAACGAGAATCGGCCCATCCGCGTGACCACGTGGTTGTCGACGACGCATTTCCGTCCTTCTTATCAACTGTAAAAATGTCTGGGTCTGGAAGAATGCAAGTTTGTCATGCTTGTCTGGCATGATTCGAGAATCTGTGTTGCACAGGCACAAAAAAGCCCTCTTACCTGTCATGCAAAAACGCAGTTTGCCATGCGGAATACGTAAGACATGGCAGCCAAAAAATTTGTCATGCATAGCTGCGTACTGCAGTGCGTCGATCATTCATTTTTAGCATTACAAGTTTCCAGACCCAGACATTTTTACATTTGATACTTCTGCGCCGTCAATGACCGTGAGCAGCAGGAGTTGCAGAACCTTCTGCGAACGTCGAAAGAACAAGAAGCATTTGAACTGGAGCAAGAACACATTTCTCAGCATGCGATTTTATCAGAGGACGCTAACGCTGGGAATGAGGGGGATGAAAATGATTCTGGCGCATTTACCGACCATCATCATGATCCCACCGCCGGCGGCGGGGACGACGATCATGAAACGGAGTTCTCGCACTCCGAGAAAACGACCATCACGACCCGGGGAATTTTGGAGCTTGGCGAGTTTGAGGACTTGGAAGAGGAGGAGGAAGTGGTCGTGGAGAGCAATGGGGAATTGAACCCTTCCGCTGCTGTCGACCATGTAGTTGACAGGAGTGCTACAATCGTCGTGACGGATCATCATGAACACGAAAAGATTGTTTCTTCCGTGCAGGACACGACGACGACGACCCTCGCAGGAGAGATAAGGATGAATGCGTTACCGAAGGTAGATAAGTGCTGTATTGTTTTCCAAATTTCTGATGCATAGAGCGACCGCATGATGTACCGCTTTTGTCATGCATAAAACCTACCCCTGTATAGACAAAAAGACATCACAAAAATTTCTTCTCCAGCCTCCGGGATTTCGGGGACGGCCTCGTATCTCGTATCCTGTGCAAAAGTATTGTCAACTCACTGGAACAACTGGTGGTACGTGCATAATTACAGAGTTGGTGCTTCTGCTATCGATCCGCATAATAGGCTGTAAATGTAATGCTAAGTCAATTTGTAATAGGATTTCTACTAGTTCTGGTACAGCGATATTACTTTTGCAATGCATAGCTCGACCACGAACAACGAAACGAATGTGCTGAACACAACGACCCCGACCACGGCAGGCACAGGAGGTACCAAGGCGAAGAACACGACCTCTAGTACAACTACATCCACCTTGCCGGTAGGGACGGGCATGGGTGACGCCTCCGCGTACGCACGGCCACCGACGCCGCTCCCGTTCCGCCGCGAACGGAAAATAATCGACGTGGCGCGCGGCCGCTATGAGAGTGCACAAAAACTCCTCCTGTTGCATGATCTTTTTCAGTTGCATAATTGCAACTTCTGAAGTAGATCTTCATGCGAAATAAAGTTTAACTGCACTACTGTGGCACGCGGCGGCTATGATATTGCATCACAAACTGACTAGCGAGATACTCATATTAGAGGGAGGCGGGTTGTGCAACGTCATAGGCGCAACGCCTCTGAGGAAGACGCAATGTCGGCATACAGTCACTGGTTGTTGTGTCAGACTGCCTATGGGATTGATGATGCGCACTATCGCCTTGTTACCCTGGAGATCTCAACATAAAAATTTGGCTTCATCTGTGGTGCAGAAAGAATATAATTAGACGTCGGTCTAGGAAGACCAAACTGGTTTTAGTACAACTGTGTAGGGTCGTTGTGGCCGCCACAGTATACGTAGATCGTGATGCAGCGCACGTGGGCTGCTGACAGCATTAGAGGGCAAGAATATTAATGATCCAATAGCGACAGCTGCGCAAGAACCCAACTCGCATGACCACCACAACGGTCGCACCAGGGGCTGCTGGAGGGTTATTTTGTGCACTTTCATACGGGGAAAAAAATGTGTAATGCGGACACTGTGCAGGCGATTCAAGAATTGAGAAATAATGACAACTCATCTTCGGTTTTAACAATTTCGTCGGGATCTGGCTCTATTCCGCAAGGCCAGGGGCCTGTTTCTTCTTCTTCTTCTAGTACAACTTCGACGACCGGTCTAGTACATTCTTCCGAGCAGGACACGACGACGACGACCCTCGTAGGCGAGGATGGTGACTACACGCCTAGCAAACAGCACGCGTCGACGTGGTCCACTATCTCGTTCACTGAAGCAGGAGTAGAGCAGCTGCCAAGAACTACTTCCGCTTCGCTTCCCCGTCGCTACTGCAGCCTCGATTTTGACGTGGTAGAGGGGGCTCAGGCGGAGAGGATGAAGCAGGCCATCCTACAAGTTGTAGCGGGTCAGATGAAACAAGTAGACAGAGGCCAGAGTCGTGGCCCGGACCCAAACTACCTCCAGGAAAACCTGGTAGAAGGACCTACAGATGGTGAACAACATACCGACACCACCGTATCAGCATCCCAACGGTCGCTGGGAATAAATACGCACCACGACGAGGACTTCGCTCCTCCAGACAGTGACTGTTCTGTTGTTGTGCCGCCAAGAACAGTAGAAGAAGCAGACGGTGGTGGAGAGAGTGATGAAAAAAATTCCTCCAGTGTAGTTCAACGTCTTGGGCGCCATGCAGACCACATCAATGCAGATGCTGCACAAGAAGAGCCATCTTCTTGTCGCTTCAGCTTCGTTTTAACGGATGAACACATTGGCACGCGCGATTTATGCATTGCAAAAGTATCGTACTGGTATAAATCGCATGACAAATCTCCTCAGCTTGAGAAAGAAAATTTGTAATGCCGATTTACCTTGAGAGTGAGATTTGTAATGCGTGACTGCGATTAATTCTCAATACGGATGCGATACTTTTGCACTGGATACGATTTTATCCATCCCAAAACTTTCTCCTGTTTGCTGGAAGCCAACTGTATTCCGGTCATCTGGGGTAGCCGGAACTTAGCTGAGCTGCTGCTTTCGAGGAACAAGAAGAAAACCAGTGGATCGACTTTTGATCATGCGGAAGTACTAGATCCGGTCGGCTGGAACACGCGGAAGCGGATCGGACACGAATGGCAGCAGCGGGACCACAAGCACCCACCCCCGCAAACACATTCATACTATCTCGACCTGTCAGAAGACTTTGCGACGCTTTGGGATGCGGTTTGGTATTTTGAACATTTTTCTTCTACTGTAACAAACTCTACTGGTCAAGAAGAACACCTTGCTGTGGGACGAGTAACAGATGCGCAAGAGGACCACCTCCAGCCTACTGTACACCTATCCGATCTACGTACTACAACAAAGCGGAAGGAGAAGCAGGGCGGAGCGGAGTTCCTAACATCAACCAGCGTTGTTCCTCCCAGGCCGGAAGAACTGCTTGACGCGAAACGGTTCCTCCGCCTATCGCCGAGGATCGCAAAGTTTACAGTGTGCGGCACAGATGAAGACGAGGACGACAATTTTGCACCAGGTAGTAGTACGACCAAGGCGTCCTCTACCTCCTCCTTCCCCGAAATTGTTGTGGATCATCTTCGAGAGGAGCCCTCTTCCGACCGTGTTGCCTTCTCCACCGCCCTGTACATGAATCTGCGCTACAAGCACGTTCTTCCGCACAAGGTAAACGTTTTGGTGTCCAGCTTTCTGTCTTCGAAGAATAACGACCGAGAAGGAGGAGCGCCGCACAGTAGCGCGGGCGGACGCTCGAGAGCGACACCAATGAAGATTCCAGCACATGTGCGACCACCAAGAACTACTCGTCGTGTGCTGTCGAGTGCAGCGCAAGTAGATAATTCGCACGCATGGGGCGAGTGGATTAGCGAAGCTGAAGACAGGCTTCCTCCTCGTCCCGACAGGTTCCCGAAGAAGAAAAAGTTTTTGTTCGACAAAGTTCTCCGGGCGTCTACGTCCAGCGAGAAAGATATAAACGGATCTACTGCAGCCGCGCTAGGGCATCAACATCAAGATGATCATAAAGTAGATGCTGCAACGACTACAAAAGTAGAACCCCCTAGCGGAGGAGGTGCTTCTAGTTCCAGTTCTACTGCTGAAGATACGAAGACGCCCGCTCCACCTTATCAGGAGCAACAGCGGCATTACAACCACTTCCTTCTGCAAGAGGACGAGGCAACTACCCTGTTGAAGAATCAGTGGTCCCAGGCGGAAACATATGCATTGCAAAAGCATCGTACTCGTAGTGAAGATTGCGTTTTATGCATCACAAATCTCTTTCTCAAGGTGAATCAGGATTACAAATTTAATTTGTAACGCTGGGCTAATTTGTAATGCAATTTATCCTAGTGCGATGCTTTTGCAAGGCATAAAACAATACGCAAAACGTCCATCTGCCGCGTTTTCCCGCCCGTCATAGACGAGGAACCACGGGTGCGGAAGGATTACATACTATGACTTGCACAAGTATCGTACTCATCGTGTAACAGTATTAATGCATTACAAATTTCCTCAGCATGAGCAGAAAAAAAAATTGTAATGCGGATTAATCTTAAGAAAAAAAATTTGTAATGCGTGACTGCAATTAATACGAGCGCGACACTTTTGCACAGGATACATCCCGCTGGATTACTACTTTAATGAATTTTTCGGCCCGGGTATCCTGAGTAAAAACGTCCCCACACCAGAGTTGTAATGCAGATTTGCAAAGACAGGAAGACTTGTAATGCGCATCCCCATGAGAGCCATTTCCAATCGTGTTCTGGAATTTGTGATGCTGTGAACAGGATGAGCAGATAAGTCTGTGACGCGGCTGCACTCGCTAACCTGCACTACGCTGCGAAGTGCAACTTGTCATGCGTGACTCACAAAACTCCTAGGCTTGTGTTGCAAAATCCCCATCCTGACTCTGGTGTGGGGACGTGTTTACTCAGGATAGCGGGCACCATGAACGTTGGCATCGAAGAGCTACAGGGGCGGTGGGGGCATGTTGCTTCTTCGGCCGACGTTCTTCACGCAGCGATTTTTCGCGACAACATCGAAGATGCTGGTACAACGCCGGCAGGTCCTGCTGAAGGCAGTACACAACAACTAAAAGTGTCCGACTCCGACTACCAGGAGGCGCGGCTTGCCTCTGAAACCGAATTTGCGACGCAGCAACGGCATAAGGAGACATCAACTTCTCACGTTGACGTTACCTCTCCTGCAGCTGGGGATAAAAATCATAATGATGATCATCATCTTTCTCAGGAAGGCCATAGTACTGGAGCTGCTTCTGCAGAGGAGAAGAACGACAACGAACATCAACATAAAAAACAGTACTACAACTGCACGAACGAGGAAACGGAGTCTGAAGTGGGGCTGTTCCAGGTCCCGCTAGTTCCCTCGGTACCCAAGGAGAGCAACCGGGTACCAAGGATATTGCAAGTACCGGACCGAGTTTGTGAGGACATGAAGATAATAGAGCTACCTGCCGACGATGAACGCAGGAACCTTTTCCGTCAAGGCGTGTCGCTGCCACCCACTTTTGTCGCCGCAAAGAATCTATGCATTGCAAAAGTACTTATAAATCGTACTAGTAGTTAAATCGCATCACAAATTTCATCCCCAGCACGACAAATTTCGTGAATTTGTAATGGTGAATCAGATAAATACCCAGATCTGTAATGCATGATTGCAATTTACCTACGAATTTTGCGATGCATAGAATCAACTGGAGCAGCTGTTGTGGGACCTGCACGACTACACCCACCGGTTTTTGTATCGCAAGAAAAAACTGTTTCACTGTAAACTTGTAATGCAGAAAATCTATCTCAGAACCGTTTGTCTTGCTACACATGCAAGACAATGGAATTTTAGTGGTGTTTTCCCTTGGAAATCTCGCATGGCGAATTTTCTCTGTCATGCAGAACCAACTTGTGATGCAAAAATTGCAAAATCCTTACAGTGAAACACTTTTTTCGTACGATATTTTGGTGACACTGAAACACCATCTGGCGTTTTGCACGCACGCTTTGAACGGCATCAACCCGGCACAGCACGCGGTGGTCGTATGCATGGTCTTGCAACAGTATCGTACTAGTAGAAATCGCATGACAAATTCATCCCTCAGCATGATAAAAAATGAAATTTCTAATGTTGCGGATTTACCTTTAGGAAAGACGTTGCATGACTGCGATTACCACGAGTATCAGATACTTTTGCTCAGGATAGGCCGGAGATGAGATGAGCCTCAACTTTGATTCATCTTCTACCTCCCTCGAACACACCAGAAATGGCGAGCTCCGCGACTCTTGCGTCTTGCTTGCCGCATTTTCGGAGCGGGCGGAATACGTTCTGGGGAGGCGCGTGCAGGACCACTGTCGCAACGGGTTCTTCGATTTGAGCGTAGGGGAGTACTGGTTCGGCTTTGTGGTGAACATAGGCATTTTGCAAAAGTATCGCACTCGTAGTAAAAATCGCAATTATGCTTTTTGCAATATCCCTCTGTGAAGGTAAGTCCGCACATACCAGCCGCGAGGCTCGCAAGTCCAGGTCTTCGGGCGAGGCCGTGCGTGCCTGCTTCGCGTCTCGCGCGATTACCTCTCTCGTAGCCCGCTGATAGTGGTCCAAACAAGTCCGGCCTTGCGGGCTCGCAGGTTAGGGACGTCGGGCGACGCCGTGCGAGCCTGTCTCGTGGCTCGCAAGATTGCCTATTTTGGTGCCCCAAATTGGTCCGGCCTTGTGGGCTCGCAAGCTAGCGTCTTCGGGCGACGCCGTGCGAGCCTGTCTGGTGGCTCGCCGGATTGCTTATCTTGGTGCCCCAAATTGGTCCGGTCCTGTGGGCTCGCAAGCTGGCGTCTTTGGGCGATGTCGTGCGAGCCTGTCTGGTGGCTCGCAAGATTGCTTATTTTGGTGCCCCAAATTGGTCCGGCCTTGTGGGCTCGCAAGCCAGTGTCTTCGGGCGACGCCGTGCGAGCCTGTCTTGTGGCTCGCAGGGTTGCTTATTTTGGTGCCCCAAATTGGTCCGGCCTTTTGGGCTCGCAAGCTTAGCTAGCGTCTTCGGGCGACGTCGTGCGAGCCTGTTTGGTGGCTCGCAAGATTGCTTATTTTGGTGCCCCAAATTAGTCCAGCCCTTTGGGCTCGCGCGCTAGCGTCTTCGGGCGACGTC